GCAGCGTCGACATCGACACCGTATATGGGGCCATGTGCTCGAAAGGTGATCAGAGCCCGACGTGACCAAGCGCTATGAGCTGACGTCATGCTCAGACGGCGACTCCTACTGCTTTGACAAATTCATCGCGGCAGCTTTGTCCACCGGAGCCAGCGGCAGCAGCAGCTCCGAGACCTGTGACGGGACGAGCTCGACCTGTACCAACGTCTGTAAGGTACGCGCGAGTGCCAGGCTGCTCCGGCCGCCTTCCTTCTCAATGAGTCTTGATGCCTCCCAGAACGACCTCAAGACGGTCAACGACATTGGCTGCTGCGCAGGCTCCATGCTCGCAGCGATCCCTGAATCGAAGAAAGAGGCCGAGAACGCGGCGAAGCTCTGCTCTCAAAGCCTGCCGAAGCCATGTGAGCTCTGACAGGCCGCACGCGGAGCTTGTGACAGCTGACGTCTCGAGGGGCTGCGCAGGCGGGGCGGGGCCCTCGTTCAACCTCAAGATCGAGATATCGAACCTCAAGCAGAGCTGGTACGCCGCAAACAAGGCCACCGCAGACCCCTTGGTGAGTCGCGTCATGTCTCGAGAGAGAAGGCGGCGCCATGCCTGATCTTGAGCAGCTCGCCACGGACATGAACTCGGCCTTCGGCACTACAGCTGGGCAGGTGAGAGAGAGCGCAGAGGCCCCGCCTGCGCGTGCGATGATGGGCGGGGGGATGACGAGAGGCTGGCAGGCGAAGATGGGGGCGTCGACGGCAGGAGCAGGCGGCACTTCCATCGACGTGAGCATCACCACCGCCCACAAAGATCAGGTAACTTCGCTAGACCCGTAAGCGCTGCTCTGATGACGTCACGGCTAGGGTACTGCGGTAGAGAACACATCAAAAAGTACAAGGCGAGGCGGAGCGGAAGCGTAAGTCAAGGACTGTGTCTCTGACCGAAGGCGCTGACGGATGGCTGGTAGTCCCTTAGCCTGGCCACCACGAGCACAAACCTTCCCTCCGACGCCAAGATCGACCCGTCCAAGGCTTTAAGCGTCACGGTCTCGTCCTACGTCAAGGGCTCCTCGGCTGCCTCGCGATCTCTTGCGTGGTCGGTGCTGTCGGTGGTTGTGCTGAACGTGTTGGTGAGACCTGCGATGCCGGGGCTTGCGAGAGACCTGACGATCAAGGGCTGCTGCAGGTCGTGGGGAGGATGGGTGCTCATTGGTGAGGGATAGGATCCTACTGTGAGGATCCGGACTCGTGGAGTGCTCTTTTGGACAAGAGAAGTGGTAGCCATGAGGCATGAAGAGATCGCAGTCGGATGACCGCGTGAAGCTGATGCTTGACGGAGCCTATGTTGCTGACCGTACTCAATGACAACGTAGTCATTAGTCACTTGCCACAACACAATACTTACAAAGCTACCTACAAGAATACTTGATAACATACATGATCACGGATCTTTTACACGTTATCCTGGCCCGCGCACAGACCGACGGTGCTGCTCGATGAGAGCGTGTTGCCGACTGACCATCTCATTGAAACTAGCACTGAGTGTCTTCAAGGTCGTTTCGCAGGCCACTGGCCTGCAATACTTGATTAAGAGTAAAAACAAACCTTCCAGTCAACAATCAAGGATATTTGAAAACTTGACCAAGGAGATTCCTCAATGGCTGAAGATGATGTTCTCCAGTCGCTGGTGCGGTTATGGCAGCGGACGGCCTCCCCCTCCTCCCCCTCCTCCCTCCCTCCCCCCTCGTCCTCCTGCCTGCCCAGCGCTCCCGCAAGTCAGCTTCCTCAGCCCTCCAGTCACTCCTATCAAGCTGCGTTCCTGTCCTCCTGCGCAAGCCTTCCTCATGCGGCGAGGGTAGCCAAGATGAAAGCTACTCAAGAAGACTTGCTGCGAATGCTGCTGCTGGCCTGCCGGGAAAGGATCGACGGCCTTTGCTCATCCATGAGGATGAGCGAGGAGGAGAAGACGTCACATCCGGAGTTACTGAGCAGCGAGGTGTCTGAAGGGCTGCTGCTGAAGCTGGAGGATCTCGAAGCAAGGCTGACGAGGGACATGGAGAGCATGAGATCACTTCTTGCAGGAGTGGCTGAGTACGAGAACCTTCTCCGAGAGCGGGCGATGCTGGAAACAACCTTCACCGACTCCTCCAGGCTGCTGGATCGCACTTCGAACTCGTACACTCTTCGGCGATCGGAGGAGCGGTACAAGGCTCTGGTGCTCAAGATCATACCTGAGAGAAGGAAGGAGCTGCTAGAAGCGATAGAGGAGTGGGAGAGGAGCAACGGGAAGGCGTTCTTGACGTGGGGACGAAGGTACCTTGACAGCCCAGATGAAGTGATACCAGCGGACGAGGAAGGTGTACGGGGACGAGGAGCAGAGCAGTCTCAGGTGAAGGCGAGCAGAGGAAATGATATGAAGGGATCGCAGAATGTTCGAAAG